CCGCCTGGCTGCATAGACCATGCGATAAAGCAGATTCCGTATGGGAAGCTGCCGGAGAAGTACTGGGTCAAGGGCGATGGGGGCAGGATATCGGTTGATCAGCCGGCTTTGACGACGGATTTCTGTAGGGGCATTTGGAGCGGCGTGGCGTTTAGGGTGCAGAGACGGTTGTTGGAGAAGTGGTATCGGAATGTGGAGGGTAGAGATAGCCATCTTTGGGATGTGAAGGAGTTGGCGAAGAGTGATTATGGGGTTGGGACGAAGATTGTGGATCATTTTGAGGTTGTGGAGCACAAGGATGATAAGGTAAGGCTTGATGCGATCGCATTGGGGGTTTTTGGCTGACTCAAGTTCTTTCATAGGTTATTGTGCGATGCGGCGACTCACCACACGTTTCCGAACCACGACCCTCGGATGGTCTCTTCTCTATGGAGGTCTCGAAAGACGATGCGGCGCAGATGGCTACTTTCCACCTGAAGTCGGTCTTTGTAGATACGACGCCAGAGGGCAAGGACGCTGGACCGCAACCAGGCCATATTCAATGGCTGCATAGGCTGTACACTAAGCTCTGGATGGAGAGTGCGACGCGCAAGTTGATCAAGGAGGCGTAGACATGACACCATCGCAATGCAAACTATTCTGGTTACGAAGTACCCTCAAAAAGTACAGGACATAGTACATTCCCAGCAGTTACCTCTCACATCGATGCGCGAGTCCAGGCTTTGTGCGAACAACATTGGTAAGATTTAGAGACGCTGTTCGCGATGCAAGACCAACAGGCTTAGATGATCGGCGCGCGGAGCTCACCCCGCCCGTTCGGTCGCAATTCTGAGGAGCAGCGCAAAAGCACGTCTACCCGTAGCTCGAGCTCGAATGCGGGGATCAGTCATCGTGACATACGTCAGTGGATCGGCGTGCGTCGAACAGCCGGTACTCGTGCGTCCCAATCATGATGGTCCGGAGAGGTGCCATCACAACACCTTACTCAAGATACTAAACGCCCTATACTATGTCCTCCCATCACCCTCTCACTTCTTCCAAACCCAACCGCTGACTTCCACACCTTTACACTATTATTATCAATCCAAACCCAACACTACCTCGAAGTCCTCACTCCACCTCATCATGGGCGTCATGAGCGTGACCTCCTCAACAATATTCAACTGCGGGGCGGG